ATCAAGTTGCGGTTGGCTGCGTTGCGGTTCCAGGCCGATGCTGAGGAATCGGAATACTGGACTGGCAGGATACCTGCGTCTTTGAGGGAGGTGATGAACTGCGCACGGTTGGAGGAGATATCGCGCAGCGTCTGGTGGGAGAGGAAGTTGTCGGCACACCATGACTGGGTGCCCCAGTAACCGCCCTGGGAGCGGGATCGCTCGGACCAGGCTTGGAATGCCGAGAGATCGGTGAGAAGGTCGCCGTCGCCCTGGCGGGAGAAGCTTGCTTTGGCGGCGTTTGCTTCGTCGCGCTTATCGCGTGGCGAGACGAAGGGGCTCTTGACTGTTAGCATGGCTGCGATTGTGAGGCATGGTTCCATGCAGCCGAAGATGGAGCCGTAGATCATGAGCTTGGCGCAGCGGAGGTCCGCGGGGATCATGGAGAGGTAGCGGCCTAGGGCTGTGAGTCTGTCGTGGTCCAGAGCGCCTACGCGATGCAGGAAGTTTAGTGCGCCCTCAACGGCTATGCTTTCTGGTGGGGTGATGGTGTTGGCTAGGAAGGAGGCGACGTCATCTATGCCTTTCATGGATTTGACGGAGAGACACAGCTGCTCTAGGGGAACACGGCGGATTTCTGGATCTGGTCGTGGGGCCATGTTTGATTCGGCTTTACGGGTGTATAGCTTATAGCAGATACCCGCGCGGACACGACCTGCTCGGCCACGACGCTGTTTGCAGGCGGCCTGTGATGCCCATACTTCTTGGAGACGGACCATGTTGTCCTTGGGGTCGTAGCTCGTTTCCTTGACTCGGCCGGTGTCAATGACAGCAACGACATCCTCGATTGTGATCGAGGTTTCTGCCACGTTTGTAGCAGCAATAACCTTTCTTTTTCCTCTTGGCGCACTCTGGAATACTCGTCGTTGTTCGGCTGAGAGCAAGGAGGCATGCAATGGCAGAGGATGCATGTTGGGAATCCTCTTGATTGCATTCAGACAACGATCAATCTCTAAAGTACCAGGGAGGAAAATCAAGATGCCCCCTGGCTGGTTTCCTAGCTGAGCATCGATGTATTCGACAGTTGCTGCGATCAGATCATAATTGATTCCCATGCCCAAGCTCCGCAGGGCTTTTCCAAGTGTTTCTTCACCCCGAGGGGCTTCTTCCTCATCTTCATAGCCCTCGGTAAGTTCTGGCGCAAATGATGTATACCGAATAACGTCATCCAAATAGTAGTCCTCGACAGGGAATGTTCGGCCGGGTATGTTCACCAGTCCAACAGATCTCTGACTGCCAAAGTATCTCATGAAGATGCCAGCATCAAGGGTGGCACTCATGAGAATAACCTTCAGGTCCTTGCGGTAATTTAGAACATCCCTCAGCAGCGCCAATAAGAAGTCCGTATCCAGACTTCGCTCGTGCACCTCATCGACCACCACGTGCGATACGTCGGCGAGGGAGCTTGCGACATTGCCATCCGCATCGCCACCCGACTGGATCCGACGTAGCAAGACACCAGTAGTCACGAAAGTAATCTTTGTGGAACCAGGCTTGGCTTTCGACTCGCCTCGGATCACGTATCCGACTTCATCGCCGACTACTGCGCAGCGCTCATCGCTGACTCTGTCGGCAAGACCCAGGGCCGAAATTCGTCGTGGCTGCGTGCAGATGATGTTGGCAGCACCTCCCAGTCCTCGCTGGATCATATCGTCTAGCACAAACTGTACAGATTGTGTACTTTTACCACTACCAGTCTCACCTGAGATGATAGTCACTTGGTTTGAGTTGATAGCATGCATGATTTCATGCTGGATATTCCATGCAGGGAGGGCTTTTCTTTTCCGGTTCATCTCGATCTGCGGCGCAGTATCTTGTTTGGCCTCCCAGGCATCTCGGATAGCCAAGCTTCGTGGCGAGTCGACCTTCCAGTCAATACCTCTGCGATTCTTGCGAGCCGAACGCATAGGGATTTCGTGGGTCTCAGCTGCTGATGAAGCCGTCACAGCGGAGATCTCTCGCAACTTACCCGGGTTCTCCATGATGCTCGGTAGGTTGACCTCTAGCCAATCCATAATGTTGAAAATCATAGATTCACCCGTAAAGTTCTCCTCGGCATACTGCACTGCCCGACGGATCGCACTAAGACGTATATAAGCTGGGACGCCCTTGGCCTGGATTGATATGACAGGAGGTGTGGTTGGATAATGGGCGGAGGGCTTTTGGAAGCGAAAGATTGTGTTTGGTGGAATTTCCGATGCCTCACTATTGATCTCGCAGACCTTGGCTGATATGCGGTGGTAACGTTCTCCAAAGATGGCTTCCAGCGTAGTCGCCTCTTCCGCCCAAGCCTCCTCGTCTTCGTCGGCCACTGATGGGGCCGAGAATTGAGTTCCATGGGCCAAAGTGCCTTGCAAGTGCTCAGCAGCCGCCAATTCGTCGCCATTCTTGCTGTCCAAGATTTGCGAGCACATGTCGGCTGGATAGCCTACAGATGCCAGCCGTTTGACTTTGCCCTCACGAGCAAGATCACCAGAACCAAGACTGACACCAGCTGAATATCCTTCTGGCAGAGACCACCGTGGGAGGTCATCATCAGGAACATAGATGAGAAGCCACTCCAAGACTTCTTCGCGGTCTTTGCATTCCGCTGTGGCTTCTTCCACATGGCTGCGACGGAACCCTAGACTGGTAAATTCGTCCGCAATGGTTTTATTTTGGTTTTCTGGGATCTTCACGCCATATGGGTTCCAAACTGTATGTTGCCGCAAAAGGCCTTCGATATCTCGTCGAATCCGTGTGCCCATATCCACCTTAGGTGCTTGAGACCAGATACGTTTACTTCTGGCATCCCCGTTTCCTAGCCCTAATTCCGCATTTGAGGCCTTCTCCTTTGCCTGGGCTTTTTCGCGATCTGCTCGCTTCTTTGCTAAGTCGGCGGCCGCGCTCTCTCTTTCTTGCTTGGCTAAGAATGGATCTGCCTCGTACATCCAGCCCTTGCCTTCCCGAGTCTCTGCTGCTTTGATTTCTGCAAAGTCCTCCTTCCACAATTTCTTGTATGTTGGAGGCATCATCATATGAATATTGCGCATATTGCATACTCGGAACAGGGCAAACGCTGCACTGAAATGGCGCGCTTCGAGGGCTGTTGGCTGCCCAGCGAGTTGTTTATGGGAGGCAGGGAGCTTAATTGGTGGGATCACAATCAATTCCTTGGTCTTGGGATCTATCTTCTTCATCGATACGGACGAGACAAAGCCATCGGCGGTTTTAATCTGCAATTGGCGCAGTCTATCAGCATCTGGTTTGGTATATTGTTTGTAGACATGCGACGAGTGCCACGGGGAGACTTGATTACCATGCTGTACTCAGGCTTTTCCCATTTTTGCTTCTGACAGTGCTCCGCCAACATATTGACTGGTAGCTTGCCTGTCCATGATGCGCCACCAATGACATCCTTCACGGACGGTTTCTTGGGCTCCTCCGGCACTTGTTTCTTCACTTCACCAGCTTTCTCCGCAACAGCTTTGGCTTGTTTCGTACCCGGTTTGGGGCCACCCTTGCCATCGCCTTTCTTCTTAGGTGGCATTTTGTGTGTGGTGAGTGTTTTGCGCAAAAGATAACTTTTGGAGCCTCAGGCAAAGGAGCGACCCGCACTAAACTGCTTTGGGGTTGCGGGGAGCATACGGAGGAGCGCAGCGACCATGGGAGACTTAACTCCCAACAGGCGCATGTGCTGTACTCTTACTCAGTCCACTGATCTGAGACTTGGATTTTGTTGCTTTAAGGCAATGCTACACCTAATATCTACCGTGTGATCACGAGTCAAACTTCTACACTAATCATCATGTCCGGAGAGCACTCCAATCCGAGCAAGGGTGAGCCAAAGGAGCAAACTGGGACATCGGAAAAGAGAAACGCCTGTAAGGATACCGAGAATCTTGTCACTGAAAACTAATTGACTCATATACGAGTTTGGCAGTTACTGAACTCTTGGCTCCCAAAAGCAAGCAACCCAAGCACGCGGCTAAAACCCCGTCTGATCGCAATGCGGCCAAGGGCAAGACGGCATTTGGTGTTCGCGACGGACTAGGCGCCTACATCGCAAAGCCTGAGACGTACGCTCCCGATGTCGTAGTCTACCATAATGATGACTTTGTGGCGATCCACGATATGTTCCCAAAGTCATCACTACACCTCCTCCTTCTCCCCCGCGACCAGACAAAAACGCGCATGCATCCATTCGATGCGTTCGAGGACGCCGCGTTCTTAGCAAAAGTGAAGGCCGAAACCCAAACACTCCGCAAGTTGGCAGCGGGCGAGCTGCGACGCAAATACGGGAAGGACTCTGCACAGGAACAGGCGAGACAGGCAGCGCTGGGCGCTGATCCGCCGCCCGACAAGCTACCGCAGGGTCGGGACTGGGAGCAGGAGATTGTGGTCGGGGTGCATGCTGTACCATCCATGAACCATTTGCACGTTCATGTGTTATCGGTGGATAGATATAGCGGGCGCTTGAAGCACCGGAAACACTACAATAGCTTTTCGACACCGTTCTTCGTGCCAATCGAGGACTTCCCGCTGGCGGAAGATGATGTGCGACGAAATCCGACGAAAGAGGGGTATCTAAAGCGAGATTTTACTTGCTGGCGCTGTGGTAGGGGATTTGGGGATCGGTTTGCGGAATTGAAGCAACATCTGGAGCAGGAGTTTAAAGAATGGAAGAAACTGTGAGCCATCGGTGTGCTTGCGAAGATATACCAGTACTGCCAAAACAGGCACAGCATGGTATATATTGGATTGAACTCTCCAAAAGTGATCCTATTTAGCGTGGGAGCTAAACTGGGCCAAAATCTTCTATCTGGTAGATATACATGTCTCCTGCGACAAGCAGTAGGGACCAGTGCATTTCCAGCACGTACCCAATGCTGCCTTCACACTAGACAAAAACTCCGGCAATGGTATACATTGAACAGAATTGTCTATTTCCTCCATCCGCGATATGGCTGTCGTGTGTGCATTTACGCACGGGCCTTAGAGCGGCCCTTGACCTTGCGGGCCTCGGGGCGGTTGATGTGGTGGGAGGGAATCCAATCAGCGTTGTAGGCGCTGGCAGAAGAAACTGCAGCACCGCTGGAAGGCTCCTCAGTAACAGGGGTCTCAACGCGCTTTGTGCCACCCTGGGTGCGCTTCTCGCTGGTCTTTCCGGACTTGCGCTTCTGGGGGAAGTAAGGAGCGACCCAAACGGTGTAGACCAAGTAACCGGTGCCAGAGACACAGGCCAGCAGGAAGAAGTAGAGGAAGATACTGATAGCAATTGTTAGTTCCATTGCCCTCACACGACTATGGTAAAAGGGGGGCGGGGTGGGTGGGTCATACATCTGAGGATCGAAGATGCTAGTATCCGCCTCCACGATGCTAACGGTGCCATTGTGGGCAACGACAGGAACCAAACGGCCCTCGCTGTCCGAAATAATGGCAGAAAGAGTCATCTGGAGATCCTGGGGGTGCATCTCGGTGGCGAAGCTGTAGCTGATTGTCTCCTTCGCGCCAGCGGGAACCTCGATAGCGTAACGAGTAGCAGTCAAGTTGCGGACAACCTGGGTCTGATCATCGGGGTTCCGAAGGCTTCCGCCAACAAAGTTCACCGTGATAGGGTTCGGCTCATCGTTGGAGATGGCGATCAGCGCCTGGGTAGGGTGACCATTCACAAGCTTGATACCGAAGATCTCGGAAGCAGGGAAAGACGCCTGGGCTGAGACAGCCAGAGTGGGAACCTCTGCTTCAGCATTCTCAGCATCCTATGATCAAACCCAAGTAATTAGCCAATTGAGTCACGCGACGTGGTGCCAGATACAAAGCACGAAAAACATACAGCAGCAAAGCCGGTGCCAACAAAGGCCTGGAGAGAGAGTAGAGCCAGAGAGAGGAAACCAAAGCGAGTCATCTTGAAGCCGGAAGGAAGAAAAGAAAGGGAAAAGAGAAACAAGAAACGTGGAGAGATCAAGGTCAAGATGAGTTGAAGGGGAATATTTGGCTCCACGTATGCAAAACCGGGGAGCTGACTCAGCCAGATAGCACCCGCGGTCTTAGATTGATTTTTTTATTTGAAGCAAAGACGACGACTATAAAATCTCTCCTTATATCAATTAATTTAATGAAGTGAGGTGCTGATCATTGGTGATTACACTAGTTCCAACACTTTACGCGCTTGGTAGATTGTCACCTCCTGCAAGCGCTTGTCAACCGGAATTTCCCAGTTCGCTTTGATCAGACTTGAAACTTGCTTCTCTCCCTTCCTTTCTTTCTTCCTTATCTTCTGTCGCATTCATCCTCTTCGCAATTCCAAAATTTTTCAGATCTTCAACGATAACTCAATCTACAAAAATGGCGACCCAAGCTTATTTAGAGCGCTATCGCCAGCTAAGTGCTCTGGACCAGCAGAAGAATGACTTCATTGAGGTACCAACCATTCCTCCCTTGGTCCTAATCCATTCTAACAAGACTCCTGATAGGAACTCCTTCAACGTGTTACCGCCCTAGAAAATTCCTTTCAACAAGAGAAACTCGACCATGAACGCGAAACCCGGTTCAATCGTGAAGTTCAGGTGCATGAAATGGAGCTGATGGACCAGATATCAGTCGTCAAGAAAATGATGGTGAGCACCGCTGTGGACGTGCTGTCTAAGCTCAGGCTAACATTCACTTTTTTTCCCCTCTAGGACCGCGAACCATTCGTTGTGCTGCTTTTAGACGGCGAAGGGATTATATTCAAGGACGAATTTCTGCAACTAGGAGAACAGGGTGGACGCAATGCAGCTAAGCAGCTCTGGAAGTCTCTCCAGAGCTATGTTTCAACAATTCTTTCCACGATCACCGAGCCAAAGATAATGACAAAGATCTATCTTAATGTGAAGGGACTTATGGAGACTTACATTCGGGGTGGAATCGCCCTAGAGGCCTCCACCATCAGTGAATTTATTCGTGGATTCAATGAGAGCGCATCATTCTTCGAAATTGTGGACGTTGGAACTGGCAAAAGCAAAGCGCATGATAAAATCAAGGGTATGTGGTACGACCTGACATGACAGAACCCGTTGCTGATTCGCTCCCTTCCAGAGGCATTCAAGCTTTACTTATACAACTGCCATTGCCACCAACTCTTCCTGGGCTGTCCCTCCAATGAAGAATATGCTCGGTCATTGACAGAACTCATTTCTGGTGCGAATTATAAGGGCCGAGTCTCGCTGGTTGAGGGTCTTCCACTCGAGAAGGAATTTGATTATTTCCGAGAGCAGGACTATCGAATCACCCAGTTCCCAGATGTTTTCCGCGCCACAAAGATTGCTCCAATTACATTGAGTGCACCGAGTGCAGCGGGTACACCGTCTTGGGCTGCTCCCTGGAAAAGCGCAATCCCTTCGCGGACTTTGCTCACACCTTCGCCAACCCAGCAATTCCAATCGCCTGCTCCTCTGTCACGAACATCTACCAGTACCAGTGTGTCAAATTTGGGCGCCCCATTGGCCCCAGTGACAAATAAACCCGAGTCTTCTGATTTCCAGGTTGTTCGCTCCAAGGTGCCTGGTACAACCCCTCCGAAGACGGTGGAACGGAATAAGTATGGCCAGCGTGTTGATCGGCTCGACTTCAAAAGCATTCCTCGCGATGATCTTAACAAACTGAAGAAGCTCAAGCTTTGCAACTATCATTTCTTGCTCGGTGAATGCCCTAATGAAGAGAATTGCTATCATGACCATGATCGCAAATTGTCCCGCCAAGACCTGCACATTCTGTCTGCCATTGCCCGCATGACACCCTGTCGCTTTGGTCTAGAATGCGATGACGTTGAGTGTATCTATGGTCATCGTTGCCCTCAGAGCGAGCCTGGTAAAAAGACTTGCTTCAGAGGCGATAGCTGCCGCTTTGAGCCCGTGGCGCATGGCATCGACACAAACATTGTCAAAGTTACAAAAATTTGAGTGGCCATCTCTCGCAATCTTATGCTCACCTGTGATCTGAACCTTTTGCACTTGCAGGGTCCTAAAATATTGTCTATTGAGTTCGGCGTGACCGGGTTTGAGGTTTCACGGGGAAAAGGTTCAAGGGAAGCACCCATGACATTATCAAAATTTCGATCATACGGGAGTTATGGACGGTGCATGAGAGCAGGCTTGCTATACAGTCATTGAGAATTCAAGGTTGTTTTTTTTCTCTTCCATGCGGGTGAAAAAGACGGTTCCAGGCGCAAATGACTCAACTATCTATTTATTGATTCGAAGTTTTAAATTGTATTAGTATAAAGGATCAATCCATACAAGGTTTATTTAGTGGGTATTTGAATTGATAATATTACAAGTCTTGAGAATCGTACAATTTATGTATGGATAGTCGTGCCGAACATGGCAAATCGTCTCTCCCATCCAAAACAATCAGGGTGGGTGCACACCTCGCCGTCGATATCCATGACATTGGGGTCTTTGCCATGGGTACACTGAACGCCATATTCCTTGATGCAGCACTCAAATGGGCGCGACTTCACTGGTCCCCAACTCTGTTGATCAGAAGCCATGGCTTTCGACTTCTCCTCCTCGAGATTGCCCCATAGGAGGAAGAGCTTCTCTTTTATCGCTTCCAATCTCGACGGATAGTCACGGAGGTTGAATGCATTATCGTCAAGAAGAAAATCACCGTCTTGGCCACACACATAGAGCTTCATCACTTCTCGGGGCTGTTGTTTGGAAGGTTTGGGCTCTACGCCCTCCACAAGCAGACAAAACCGCCATTCCCAGCCAAATTGAGATTCGAGATTGGTTTGAATTGCAAAGTCTTCTATTCTTGGGGGAAAGAAGTCGACTACTCGGACTTGAGAGTGATAGGTGACGTTTTGAAAGGGAAGTTGGTAGACAACGCCTCCTGGAGCATTGTTTAGATGGGTCTCTGCCAACAAAATCTTCTCGAGAGGGACATTAGGCACTGTGTAGTTTTTGGTTTTCACTATACATTCATCAGCCAGTATGCTTCTCTTAGGGAAATAATCAACTCACCATGTGGATTCAACTTGATTCGTGATGCTGCTGGCATGGTCAGTTGGCCTTCTTCTTTCCGGGCCTCCTTTTTCTGCTCGGCTTTCTTGTTCCTTTTTTTGGCGTTTTTGGTCTCTGCCTTGGGTTCACCGTGGATCTTCCAATATTCTGTCCGACGGTTCATCAATTCTTGTACACGCTCATCAGTGCCCCCATTCACCTTCCGGACATGGATCTTCTCCGGGTACTGTCTGTCTTCATGAACGGCAGCTTCCAAGCCACGACGGCATTCCTTGATACGGGCATAGGTCAATAAAGCGACGTCACCTGCTTTGAGGTGTTCTCGGGCATAGGTGGCATGCGGCTCCCATAAAGTCACTTCAATGGTCAATTTGCCCCATGGGCCTGGCCATGTCGTTGACTTGTGTATGTAATTAAATCGGTCGCCCTCAGGACCTGATTCATCATCTTCGCCTCCAGGTTTCTTGTAGTTGACAAGCTCCTCGTTCTCAGTAAAATCAGTCAAGTATAATATACATTTCTGGCTGTCGTAAGTATTGAGGGTCACAACTTGACCAAGTAACTGACACAATTTGCCAGCCTTCGCAGACTGAATAGGGATATACGGTAATCCTCCAGATTTTGGGAGTACACGAGAGGTTGGCAAAGGGGCCTGAATATGAGAAGGCTGCCGAGAGACGGGTACACTGCACGAAGTGGATTGTTGCACAATGATTTCTTCGGCAGATGCACGATCCAGGAGTGATTGTGCCTGGTCCTTTTCCTTCAAACTCGGTTCGAAAGGCATAGGACCACTGGTGACGAACGGGCTGGAAGTCAACCTTGGCTCTGCCCGGAAAATAACCCATGGCACAATGGACTTCTGAGAAACAACAGCTGTTGGTTTGTTCTGGTAAATTGTCACCTGAGTCATATCAGCTTACCATGCTGCTGCATTCATGTCAATCCACTCACCTTGACGTCTCGTAGTAGCACTACATCTTTGAGCTTGACATTGGGAAGATGGCTCTCATCATCATTGAAATACTTGACTTTGAGACCACCTTGCCAGGTTGGTGCATCAAAATCAGAGTCTTTGATGGTGAATGTGACGCATGACGACGAGCCTCTGGTCCGAAAAAGTGGTAAAGTATCAACCACCACTCCTAGGACATTGCAATTCCCTTGTGAATCACGAGCAGTGGTAATATCCAGTAAGTCACCTGGAGCCATGTCTATTTTTTTAGGAAGAGCTTGAGTTAGACGTCCTGCAAGCTCCCGAGATAATACAAACCAGCTCATCCAACATGCGCGTTTTTGTTAATGAGCCATAATAGAGTAATTGCTATGAATCAACACTCAAAGGAGAATTTCCCAAAAGCATAAGAGGAAGAGCTTGCCAAATCCGTTGATGTAGATAAAAACGAGTAGTCACGTGATAGTATCGTTTCCCCTCCCACAGAAGTCTTCTCCCCCCCCACATCAGATCCTCTTCCTTCTTCATACTCTCCTTCCATCCAGCGCGCCCACTCAACATCACCTACATAAAACCCGGCGCGCTTAGTCTTTTTCTTTACATCTTCATCATGGCGGAACGCTATATTCCCGAACACCGCCGCACGCAGTTCAAGGCCAAGAACCAGTTCAAGCCCGATGAGCTCCGCCGCCGCCGTGAAGAACAGCAAGTCGAGATTCGCAAGGCCAAGCGTGATGAGAACTTGGCCAAGCGACGTGGTATCCAAACTCAGGATGGTAGAATCGGAGTTGGTGGTATGGCAGCCGCCACTGAGAGTGATGATGAGGCCAGTGCTATTGAGAGTGAGGTAGGTCTTGGAAATTTTCTCTAATTCTTTTGAATTTGTTTCATTCTATATCCTATTTGGATTTCTACGGGCTCATGGTGTGGTTGCCACCCTCTGGGGTCTTTTGAGATTTCTTTGTTTTTAT